TTGACGCGGATCTTGGTGGCGTGGGTCTTGATGGCGCGGGTCCTGGTAATCGGGAAAGTAACCGCCGCGTGGATCGCCAGCCGAAGGAGGACCTTGAGTAAAAGGATTCTGGCCGTTAGGGGCAAAGGGGTTCTGAGCATAGGCCGAGTGTGCCTCTTGACCGAAGGGCACCAGCTGACCCGGGGGCGATTGTGCGCCGCCCGGGAAGCCGCCGTAGGGGTAGCGTGGATCTGACATCAAGCTGGGCGCATAGCCGTTGGGAGCATGTTGGGGTATGTGGCCCCAGCCAGCACTGGGATGGCCGGGAGGATGGCCAGGGTGGGGCGGGGCTCCGTATGGGTAGTCGTCGTCCTCGACCTCGAGAGCGTCCTGATGGACGGATTGGGGCCTTGGCCGCCTCGACCTGCGTGTGCGCTCCAGTTTGCTGCGGCTGCGGCTACGACTTTGGCTCTCGTGGCGCGAGGGAGGATCTGGGACGGGCGCTGCGTGACGCGAAGAGGCTCGATCTCGGTGCGAGGCCTTTGTGCGTGGTCCACGTGGAGGGGCTATAGCAGGTGGGGGGATAACGTGGCGTGCAACAGCGTGATGCGAGACAGCGTGCCGCGGCGCCGAGTGGTGCTTGCTGACAACTTGTGGACGCGAGGCCGAGTCGGAGGGGTTGATTTCGTCTATATAGTCCCACGAGCCTTCCTCGTCGTCGTCTTCGTCTTCCTCGTCGTCGTCGTCGTCTTCCTCGCCCTCTTCGTCTTCTTCGTCGTCTTCCTCGTCGGTCGCCTCCGAGGTGGTGTATTCGTCCTCGCTGGCGGAGACTACCTGGATGCCGGCCGAGTCCTCGTCGGTAAAGTCGTCGTCGTCTTCGAAGGCGCCCGTGTGGTTATTGACTGTGATTCCCTTCCGGAGTCTGATGGCCACGTTAGTGTCGCCCTTGACATGATAGCGGCGCTGGGGAGGAGAAATGGACACGCTCGACGGCGCGGTGCTGTGTGTTGCGCGCGACTTTACAGCGGAGCGCCGCGACGACGCAGCATGGGGCATGGCGCGACGTTGGGGGAGATGGGCTATGACTAACGGCATGAGTCTGGTGGTGCTGACGGAACCGCACTCGAGCCTCCTTCTGCTAGAGAATGGCCGAGTCCAGGGTTCCGAGGTGCGCGAGCAAGGTGCGGTGCGGTGTGGGCGAAGGGAGGATTGGAGGTGGAGCACAGGTGCGGGCGCGAGAAGATGTTAGGAGAACGCGGGGCAGGGCAGGAGATGGGTTGCGGTCCAAGGTTGCCTAAGCACAAAAACGGTACGCTATAACCAGTGGCGTATGGGTAAACAACAACAATCTCAAAATCCACGGCAGACTGTGGTCAGGCGGGACAGTCGGGCGACGTCTTGGGGGAGGGCAGGAGAGCAGAAAAAGCGTCAACCCTGGCTGCCGAAACGGTTTGGTTCTAACTAGGCGGCTGTGTCGTGTCGTGCTTCGGTCTTGTCTCTAACGTCAAATCGATATAGTAGGAATTCGTGTTTCAAGGCCGGCGCCCAACCCTCCAGTCCAGACAATAGTGCGCAGAAAACGATTGTGCTGGCTCGGACATAGTCTGGCTGAAGCAATAGTAGATATGCTTGATGATGACGACAGCGATGCGATGTCTGCGATGTGATGTGGAAGCCGCTCTACTATACTCCATCTACAGTGCCCGTTGCCATTGCTATTAAATTCACCTCATCATCCTGCAGCAGTACTGCCATCGCTGGGAGTCATGCTACCTTTGTCTAGCCGGCTACGTGGTTCCAACTCAGCGGCCTCACTGACCGCTTAGCAGCCCAAACGATGCGGCTCATGCAGCCCAACGAGGGCATAGTCGGGTGTCTGACACGTGTAGTCATGAGGAGCGACGACTGTTTGCTTATTCGACAACAACGTCACCGTCGACAGAGCATGTCTGTGGAACAAGCTGCCTCTAACGTGTTTCAGAGCGCTCACGTACTAAGACAGCGTGCTGTATGAACCACGTCCAGTATACGCCCATCCATCGTTCCAACACAGAACTGGAACAACGAACAAAGCCAACGTATGGAGCGGGTTCTCGACATCGGCCGGTGCGTGCCGTTCGCCTATCTTAGCTGCATACTGGACCCACGTCGTTCGAGGAAAGAACGTAAACCTTTTTCGCCTACAACACGCGATATGGGTCGTGGACAGGTAGACAGATCGCCTAGAAGCCTGGAATGCCGGGCCTGACTCTCCAGTCGCTGTGTCTGTGGTACTGCAAACCAAAGGAATAACATTGTCTTTACAGCAGTTTAATATCCCCCTTGCCCTGAAGCCACACACTATTACTTTTTCGCAAAACCTGTATCACAAAACACTATGTATACTTCCAGGACTGAATTCGCTCTCGATTCCAACACCAAAAGACCTTAGCGTGTTCCGGGAGGTATACGCATAATACCTCTGCCTCTGACGATAACGTATCATTGCATGGACATTCGCAGTTGATGTCGAACAAGCAGTAGGCTCATGTGTGTATCTGTGGTCATCTTACCCATCTCCTTTGTATTTTCGAGCCACGCGCTATTCAAACGCAACGACAGGGTCATGGGAACAAGGCGCCTAACAAGAGATACAGACACAATTCCAGAAGGCACTACGCGCATATAAACCACATGTGAGCTGGGCGGGAGGAAACCATCTCGGATGAGAGGCCGACAGCAAGGTTCGGCACCAAATGCGTGATCGAATTGGTATCTAGTATGCATCCAAAAACGCCTGACAATGCAAGATGCTTTTCGCCTATGCTTCCTCCTCTTCATCTTCCTCGTCTTCGTCTGCCGTACCATTGGTCAAGCCTTTTCTAGGCACCTCGAAGACATAAATGCCGTTTTTGACCTTCACAGACATCCATCGAGCCAGCCTGGGCTCTTTGCCTACGGCGGCTACGATGCACAGCCCATCCTTGCCTCTATCTCCCCTCTCTTGTACCGCAAGGCCGTTGACGATACCTCGTATAAGGATAGCACCGTCCTTGGCGTCGCCATTGACCATAGACTCGTCTTCCACCGTCGGCACGCGCCCTACTTTGCCCACTGGCTCGATGCTTTTCTTGTCCGCTGTAATCTTCCACGCGCGTATCCAGCCGTCCCAGCTTGCTGTAAGGATGAGATCAGCAAAAGGAACAGTAGCAAGCGCAGTCACGTATCGTGGAAGCCTGGGACCGGGCTTTACTGATGTTGCGGCGTCGTCGTTGGCGGACATTTGCTCGGGCGAGAGCGGTGGATCACGGCCGTGAGTGAGTGGGTATGTGAAGAGAGGCTTTTTCCGGTTGACAGACCATAGCGACAGTGCACCATTGTCAGATGCTGTAACGAACAAGCCGGCGTCGAGAAGACCCACGCAGTCGATGGAGCCCTCAGCATATGCGATGGGCGGGTCATCGTCGTTGTCGGACGTTCCACCGTTGGCCTGTTCATCCTGTTTATCGTCTCCATCAACATTTTTTCCGAATCGACCTTTGCGCAACTTGTCCAGGCCCTTTTGTCTAGCCGTACCGCCTCCATGGAACACGAGCTGGTTTTCCTCGACGACTCTCCACAAGCGAGCGGTGCGATCTCTTGCGCCTACACTGACACAAGTCTCCTGATTGAGCTCCAGCCCGCCTGCTACACCAATGACAGCGTCCTGATGTCCGACAAGCGTCTCAATATATGCTGATTCCGGCGCGCTCCATACAATGACAGCTCGGTCTGCACCGCCAGAGAAGAGTTGTTCGGTACCCCTTCGGAAGGACAGAGAGAGGACGGCGTCTCGATGGCGAGTAAAGAGGTGACGGGGTGTAAGAGTGTCGGCGTCCCAGATGATCAGGCGAGCATGCTTGTCGCCAGTAGCCAGGTACTTTCCCGAGTCGGAGACGGCTATAGACACGATCTCGCCTGTGTGGCCCAGGAAGGCGCGGTCGCCTTTTTTGCTCTTGTTTCCCTTCCGCCAGAGGAGCCTCTTTGGTGTGGTGCGCGGCGTCAAGTTGTACGGTCGGCTGGGGTCAGGCGCGTAAGACTTTGGGTCAGCGATTTCCCACTTCTCGACGACAAGATCCTTGCTGATGGTCCAGGCATACGGTAGCTTGACGGCACATCCTGTTGTGGCTTTTTGCAGCCCCGAGTAGCCGGTGGCATGCGATGCATGCTCAAAGTCAAGCTCGGTAGCAATTGACCGGTAGATCTTGCCCTTTCCCTCTGCGACGTCTTCTTTTAGTCGCTCAGCGATGAGGTCCTTGTCAATCTGCTCGGCGTCGAAGCCCACTTCCTCCTCGACTTCGTTGCGAATGTTCTCGAGGTAGCGCTCTGCCAACCTGAGACGCTTTTCCGCCGCAGTCTCGTTCTCATCTTCAGAAGTGGTAGAGCCGCCGTCTGCGTCGTCTTCGTCGTCGTCGAAGGTGGGTGCGCCGTCGCCGTCGGATTCGTCGCTGCCACTGATGGACTCTTCTCGCTGGGAGCGACGAGCATGCGCGTCCGTGTTGCGACGTTTGGGGGCGCCGGCTGCGACTTCGCCGCGCTTCCGTTTCCGTTGCGAGGCCGGCGTGGTGAAGAAAGACGACGACATGGTTGTGGTTGCCGTTTGACCTGCGCGGAAGAGATCTGTGTAGTAGGAATTGTCTTGGCTAGAAACTTTTTGCGGACCCTAACGCCAAGCAAGACCTCCGTCATGCATGGGTTCGCGTCTTCCGACTGTACCGTGTTCACATGTGAGGATCGCCAACTCGACACGACATGCGCTGCATTCGGCGCCGCTCGACACGCCAATTTGTCTTCTCGCAGTGATTTTTGCATTGCATCGCATCGCATCGCATGTACAATTGGCAGAGCGGCTTGCTAACAGACACGGCGCAAACACCGCTGCCAACCCTCGGCCACTGTCGCCTTGTATGACTTGAATGTGCGTGCATCCAAGATAAATTCTTGACCATTGTGTCGCGCGACTTCCCCGTAGTCGTGCAGGCACAAACAACAGAGCCAAAGTCATGACGGCGCAAGAGACGGCACCTCCAGATTCGCCCTTGGATGCGTTTGCGCCTGCGCTCGACGACATCGAACAACTCGACCAATTCCGCCGTTCGCCCCACCCTTACTTGCATCATAGAGATCAGCTACGGAGACGGTCGCCAGATCCGGCGCACGACGTTTCTCTGCATTCGCAATCGCAATCGCAAACCCCGCCTCGGCACCTAGACAAGACCATGAGGAAAACGCCGTCACAATCACCAAGTGAAAGCGGCACCGAGGCCGACGACGAGGGCTGCAGCCTTGTCAAGGCACTGCCTGCTCCTCCCTTGCGACCGCACAAGGGCCTCCGTGATTCCCAGGCATTGGGCACAGAGGCGTGGGCGAGCCCCCTCCTTACCCCCACACAGATTGACGACGAGGGGAGGAAGCTCTCCGAGGGCTACTTTGCTCGCAACAACAAGACGAGACGCAAGGGAGACGTATACCATAGCGACGAAGCGAGGGCAGCCAGGCAGAGATACCTCCAGCGGCGGCGCAACGAGCTGGTCAGGAGAACGACCGAGACTGCATTGCTTGCGGGCATTGCCGTCCTGGCTGTCCGTGGTTGTGACTGCTGGACCAAACTGCTGGCATGGCATAGAGGTCAGTCCGCATCCCTTGCCTGCGCCAAAGTATGCTAACCTGTGTCTAGTAGAGCTGTTGACACACTGTTCTGTCATGGCTGGCGTTTTGGGGCTATATCCGCTTCGGCTTCTGTACTACTCATGGAGAAATCACTCTCAACTCCGGCTTGGCCGTCAAATACATCTACCAGCTGCCTTCGATCCGGCCACTATCCTCTACCCCCCAATATTGCCCGTCCTGATTGCGATCTCCCTGTTTGCCTCATCGTCAAAGCCCCTTCTACCCAACATGTTGCTTGGACTAGCCGCTCTACCAGCCAGGCTTTTTCCTTTCAGAAGCGCTACCTTGGGCTACTCTCCTCTGCACTGGCTGATATCCATCATGCCCCTGATCGTTTCAGAGAACACCGATATACCCTCTCGGCTGTTTGCACAGACACCATACAAGCTCAAGTTACCCCCGCCTAACCAAGGTGTAGACCCAGAACTTCTGGTGATGTTATTCCCTTTGCATCAGGCGCTACTACCGCCCTTGTACTATCTCACCACGACGAGCCTTTTGCCAGCCGAGTTGCATTTGCTTTCCATTGGGCTGATCAACCTCCTCTTATTCTCGGAAACTCCTCAAGCAACCATACTCACTGTCTTGCTGTGGCTAGGCGGGCTGGGTGTTTTCTTGCTTTGCGGCAGGATCTTGAAGTGGGGTGTTGCACTTGCACGCATTCCGCGATGGAGGCTTCGGCGTGCTGGCCAAGTCATCCGAGCTCGACAGAATTTCTTGCAGGTCCTGAACCACAGCCTGGGTTCCAGGCGCGGCGGGAGTGGTTCGGTGAGAAATGCGAGTGATAGTGATGCGGACGAAGAAGATCCTACATTTGAAAATGCTCTCCACAAGACTAAGAGTCTGAAAGTCAACATTCTAGATTCTGCGAAACACAGCAGACTTCGCATGGACGGCGATGAGCCACGATCCGCGGTTGAAGCGACAAATACGGGCTTTCAGCAATCGAATGGTGGCGAAAGAGCCAACCATAGTAGCGGACGCAGGCGAAGGAACACCCTTCCAGTTCTCGTCGCTGAAGACCATACATCAAAGCATCAGTACTCGAGTCGAAAACGATCGAGATCAATTGTGCAGTCTTACCTGTCGCTCACACCGACCGAAGCCACCATGAGGAAGTGGTTGTACGCAGGATACTTCTATGCGATTGTAGTCGCGCTAATACTTGGACCAATTCGGTATACTATCGGCGAACATGCTCTCCACCACAACGAACCGTTTGGATGGGCCATCAGCTACCTCTTCGGCAATGTACCACGCGTGCGATGGGAGGTGTTCCAGTGGAATTTGGACTGGTGGGTCCCACTACCGACGAGACTGGATTCTGACGACATGCTCGAATCTGCACAACATCTATCACCTGCGGAGTATGTGCGTTTCTTAGTGGTAGGCGAAGCAAACACACGTCTCTTGCTGTGCTTGTACTGTGCCGGAACTATCATTGCCGGTCTTGTTGCAGTCTTCTCACTTTCCGCGGTTGTAGAAGTCGATACGCGCAGAAAGGTGTTCCATGGCACCATGGTCGCGATGCTTCTTCCGACCATCTTCATCGATCCTTGTTTCGTCGCACTAGCCCTTGCGTTGGTGCTTGCGATATTTCTCCTTCTGGATCTGATTCGTGCCTCGCAACTGCCACCACTGTCGAAACCCATTGCTAGGTTCCTCACGCCGTACGTAGACGGTCGTGATCTCCGGGGTCCAGTAGTAGTATCACACATCTTTCTTCTCATAGGCTGCGCAATACCGCTTTGGCTATCGCTCGCAGGTATAGAACGGGCTGGCGATGAGCCATGGCAAGGGTGGGATGTCAAGGATAGGGATGTGAGTATGGTGGCAGGGGTGGTTTGTGTTGGCATGGGCGACGCGGCGGCATCTCTCATCGGCCGTCGCTACGGACGGCGGAAGTGGCCATGGGCCGGCGGCAAGTCACTCGAGGGCTCCCTGGCATTTGCATTTGCAGTGTCGATAGGGCTCGTTGTGAGTAGAGTCTGGCTTGACGTTGGGTGGGACAGTGGCCAGGCAGGGCAGAAGACAACGAGCGAGTGGGTACAAGACGCACTGCTAATGGTCGGCAAGGCAGGTCTATGTGCAGCGGGGGCGAGCCTCAACGAGGCGGTGCTCACAGGCGGAAACGACAATGTGATAGTGCCAGTCATACTATGGGCTCTTGTGAGGGGTGTCAGGCTGTAGGCAACGGACTCAGCCGCATCAGGCGGGATGCAGGTACGCAGTAGATAGCCTGGTACATACTAAAACACCATGCACATGGCCATTTGCGCAGGGGAGCATGACTTGCATCTACAGCCTCGAGACAATTACGTCAGAGTTGGGCGAGACGAAGTAGTGCTGGTGGAGGTCACGTCGGCGGCCAAATGAGGGGCTATGGGTCAGCGATATGCCCCATACTCTACGCTCTGCAACTTGTCCATGGCAGCCACGGACCATGACAAGCAAATTCGTCGAACCCAATGAGCGTGTCCAGGAGGCCATTGGAAGGAGATTGAACAGAGTTTGGTCGACGTTGTCCTAGTTGCAGTAGGATAGTGGTAAGGTAGGTTCTGAGGTTCCAAGCTAGCGGCGAGCACGCGTTATCGGCACGTGCGGCCATAGACGTCCCGCGCGCCTCAGACTACTGCCTACTGACCACTACCTGCTATCCTGCTGCATGCTTTCGCTCTCCTAATCTCTTAACCTTCTCCGCCGCTCTGATTTCTTGTATCCAATCTCACGTATTCCTCGCTCATCTGTCCATCGCGCCCGCATACTCGTTGCCGCCACCGTCGCGTTCACCACCACGACCATCCCTCCGCGCTATCGATAGCCCGACCACGACGATAGCCCATGTCCAACGCCCTCACGGCCACGCTATACCCACATCTTCGCTGGTAGCTGACGACTGGCTGCATAGACACCAGCAGCCTCATCCGGGCCCCGGCTGCTCAGCCAGCGCCGCCTACCATGGCCTCACCCCCAAACCCGCACGCCCCACGGCGGTCGGGTGCATCGCCGTCGACGTCGTCACCCGCTGCCACGGGCTCGGAGCAGATTATTGGCAAGTTCAAGCGCTTGCATCACATTGGCAAAGGCAGCTTCGCCGAAGTCTATCGTGGCATCCACATTGTACGTTGCTGCCCTCACTCTCAAGCATGCATCGAGTGCTAACTGCGTCCTTGTACAGGAGAAACGGCAGTCGGTCGCCATCAAGTCGGTCAACATGAACAAGCTGAACAAGAAGCTCAAAGACAACCTCGTCTCGGAAATCACCATCTTGCGCAGTCTGCACCACCCACACATCGTGTCGCTCATCGACTGCCACGAGACGCCATCGCGCATGCACATTATCATGGAGTTTTGTGAACTCGGCGACCTGTCAGCCTTCATCAAGAAGCGCTCCGATCTCGTGAACCACCCGCAAACCCAGCGCATGATAGAAAAGTACCCCAACCCAGCCGTGGGCGGCCTCCACGAGGTCGTCGTACGCCACTTTGCCAAGCAGATGGCCAGCGCCCTCGAGTTTCTGCGATCCAAGAACTACATCCATCGTGATCTGAAGCCCCAGAATCTGCTTCTCAATCCATCGTCCATATTCTACTCTCAGAGTGGAACTCTGGAACGCATGCCTCTGGCCGCCAGCGCAAACTCCTTGATACCCGCCACTGGCATTGCCTCGTTGCCCATGCTCAAGATTGCTGATTTCGGCTTCGCTAGGATTCTGCCGACTACCTCACTGGCCGAAACCCTCTGCGGCTCTCCCCTCTACATGGCACCAGAGATTCTGCGATATGAAAAGTACGATGCAAAGGCTGATCTGTGGTCCGTGGGAACCGTTCTCTTCGAGATGATGTGTGCTCGGCCACCATTTAGGGCCAACAACCACGTAGAATTGCTACGCAAAATCGAAGAGCGCAAGGATCAGGTCCGATTCCCAGAAGGTCTCGTCAGCAGCAGGGCCATGAAGACTCTCATTCGCGCACTCCTGAAGCGTAAGCCAACTGAGCGCATGTCTTATGAACATTTCTTCTCAGACCCGGTCATCCGTGATGAAATTCCAGACATGGTGGACGAAGACCTTCCTGGCTCCATGCAGGCTTCTGAACGTATGCAAACCTCTATACTAGAACCACCAATCGAGCCACCTAGGCGATTACAGAAAGCGCCCGTTGAAATGGATCCAAGGGCTGCTGATAATCCATACTCGCCATTGCCCAGAGACAGGACGATAGCCCCTGGCACAACGCCGCCTTCACGGCCCAGCTCTAGACCCGTTTCCGGTAACTTCTCTAGCACTCCACCGCAACACCTTTCTGCACGAAGGACCAACAATGCCCCGGCCGATCCTAGCGACGAACGCACGTCGACTCGCGAACACCGCCGACCCATTCTTACCAACGCGGCAACCGCACCAGGACGTCCCGCTACACTGCAGGATCAGACCGCCGCACCCACTACCATCGGCCATAGGCGCAAATATTCTCGCGATGAGCAAGCATCGACACCTACCGGCCTCAAGGAGCACTTTGACCGCGAGCGGATCCCACAGAGAGCGGAAGCCAATGTACTGAAAGAAGCGGCAGAACGAGCTGCACAAGACAACGCGCTTGACGAGGGCTTTGTATTTGTAGAGAAGCGCCGTGTGGAAATCGACGCACTCGGAGACGAGATTGCCAATAGCCCACAAACACAACGAGATCGTCTGGTTCACCGAGAAGTTCCAATGAAGCGACGTTCGACAACCCAAGGGTCCCCAACATCGACCACTGGCGCAGTCCCTTCTAAGGCCATCCAGATCCAACAAAAGCCAACCATTACGCACCAACGCACGGCTTCATATAGTCGGAGACAATATCGTCCAAGTTTCGAAACCGCTACTTCTGCCTTGTCCAAGGCTATGAACATGGTCAACATTCGAGGGCTTGGTCTGTCACCACCCGTCATGAAGGGCGTATCTCCCCCACAGGGCTATTCTGCATTTCCTGCGTATCCAACTGCGCAAAGCAGCATGTTGTTGGTCGGCGATGGAGGCAAAGTGGTGGGCAAGGACGAAGACACTAGTACGGTTAAAAGAATTGAAGATCTGGCGCAGCTCAGCCACGTTGTTTACGGCTTCGCAGAAGTCAAGTACAGCCAGCTCGTCCCAGTTGCACCAAGCGACCCGGCTCTAGGTATCGGCTCCACTGGCGTTGCTCGCAAGCCTAGTAGCGATGTAATTGACGACGAGGATGACGATGACGATGATCTGACGCCCGATACTGTTCTTATCATCTCTGAGGAAGCGTTGGTACTTTTTGTGAAAACGTTGGCAATGCTGAACAAGGCCATGGACTTGACCGGTAGTTACTGGAACCGAACTCGACGTAACAGCGGTCCTGACGGTGCAAGCCGAACTAATGCAAAACTTGGCCAAGTAGTCTCTTGGATGCGCGACCGATTCAACGAGTGCTGCGTCAAATCTGAGATAGTTGCACGCAAGCTCAAGCAGGCACAGCAGCAGTTACCAGCAGACCATCCCAGTCATCCTCAAAATCAGTCAGCGGCATCTGGTTCTACGACTGCGGTTGGTTCTGCCGAGAATATTCTGCTTACAACTGGCGTCACGGCCGAAAAACTGCTATACGATCGATCCCTAGAAATGAGCCGCCAGGCAGCCATTGATGAGCTTACTGGACACAATCTGGCCGACTGTGATATTAATTACTGGACTGCCATCACAATGCTTCAAGCTGTCTTGGAAGAAGAAGAAGATTCGCCCAACGACAAGGCAGATGCTGAGGAAATCAATGGTCTCGATGGTGAAGATCGACGCTCGATCCAGAAGCGTAAGTGCCGCTACAATGTCTTCCAAGGGATACACAACTAACTGCTACAGTTCTCGAGCAGATGAGAAGCCGCCAACGAGCGCTGAAGAAAAAGCTTGATGTACTCAGGGCTCAAAAGCGAACCTCCATCACCAGTGCGCCTGCACCACACTCCGTCGGTCGCAGCTCGCCTTCTCAGGGTGTCGCAAAGTAGTTGCGCAGAGCACAGAATGCTACATGTTCGCAAATAACTTTACATTTACTGGCGTCTAGGAACAGGATGGTCTGCCCGCCACTCTGGTTTGCTTTTATAGGTTTGATTTAGCTTTCTTTCTGCCTGGTTGGGGATAATGGCGCCTCATGGAGGGCTTCGGCGTACTCGCATGCATTCGCGTATGATACCAGGAACTTGGGTAGCGATGATGTGCAGTTCTATTTCACTGTCGGGCGTTGTTTGAATTATATAGCGGGTCTGGATTCAGGCGAACGGCTTTGGCGGCGTTTCATCGTGTCACAGAATGATGTCTTGAGTCGTCCTGAGGAGCAGTTGTTGTGTTCATCTTAGACCGGCCCATAAGGCAAACGAACACGTATCGAACCCTAAGCAGTGTTATCGATAGGAGAAGAATAAATATGGATTAATGTATCAAATCTGTCAACTTCATGGTAGGCGTAATGCTTGCAAGTTGATCATTTGATTCAGTTCTATTACACTTGCATTCCTTCAAGTGCAATTAGGTATCAAAGCTAACCAGTGGGTGGGTCTGTATAATCCCCCCATTTTGAAAGCGATACAGCAACTGCTTCTCGTGCTCGGCCATCATATGCATAGTCCCATCACCCGCGATTTCAAGAGATGGAGATGCTGATAATTTTGATATCCTCCTCCGGCTTCTCCTTGTACACCTTGGTGTTCTCGATCTTGTGAATAACGTCCATACCCGCAATCGCCCTCCCAAAGATGGTGTGTTTGTTGTCGAGCCAGGGCTATACATAAATCACAGTCAGCTTGTCGCCTCATCATTGGGTGGTTGATGGTGAGAAAGAGAAAGAGGTGGGGAGATGGAAACTTACAGTCTTTTCAGTTGTAATGAAGAATTGACTTCCATTCGAATTTGGCCCAGCATTCGCCATGCTCACCGTATAGGGTTTGTCATGTTTCAAGTTGGAGAACTCGTCTGCAAATTCCTTGCCCCAGATACTCTCTCCGCCTGTGCCGTCGCCAAGTGGGTCACCTGTTTGTATCATGAATTTGCGGATTACGCGGTGGAAGATGACGTTGTTGTAGTAGTTATTGCGCCCGTGGGTGACGAAATTCTCCACGGCCTTGGGCGCGGCGTCGGGGAAAAGGCGAATGGTGATGTCGCCATAGGTAGTGTGAAGTGTTGCCGTCGT